CCCCCCCCCCCCCCCCCCGCAAGCAACGTGCGACGCCCTGCTAGTCTGCACGAAATCGCAATTCGCGAATCCGGGCAATTTATCATCCGGCCGCGACCCCGCGAAATCAGCTCCCATTTTGCACGCGTTTCTTCTTCTTCTTCTCCTCCGTTCAGCTGAGTGTCGTCCGTCCGCGAGGCTTGTTTTACAGTTTGACGGTCATGGCTGTTGACATTGGATCAGGCGAAAAATAGCCGCCGGGTCGGAATCAGGGTGTCTACTAAAACAAGCTGGCCAAAAATCAGTACTTTTCCAGTACATTCCCAAGAAATGGAGATGTTGCACGTGTGAGGAATTTGCGATTTGACTATTAATTCTTATGTACAAGTTTGCGAGAAACACGATGGTGCAGTAAAATGTTCACTTTAACAATCTGTTCTTCTGCAAATGCTGTCACGGAAAAGGATGATATACGATGAGGCAATTTTTCCTCATTTCCCGATCCTTTTTTTAATACATACAACGACATTTCTTACAATCGAGGACCCCTGATAATTTTCTTCTGACCCTGGACAATGGGAAGCTTGTTCACTACTCAAGAAACTTTTTCCACGAAAAATCTCTGACGTTGTCATTCTCGACGGATCAAAATGTACCTTTCCCCCGAGTTTTTCGCGGAAAATGACGCAGTTTCCCGAGAGAAGGGTCCGCTGGTAGCATTGATCAAAGTTTAAGAGGTCAAAGTTTCGACAAACTTTCCGCGAAAGTAGGTGGCGACTAACTCAACTTGCCAAGGTCTTACCGACCGGTACCTGACTTTCGTCATTGACAATGGGTGAACTGATGCTGATACTGACACAAGCCCAGTGCTACACTGTCCACGCTTACATGGAATATCCTCGGTTTCCCGGCGACCCTTCCTTTCTTTTTCGAAGAAAATAAACGCCACGCAGGTATAAAATAATACTGATTAAAAACACAGCTTGCAATTGAACACGAGGTTGAAAGAAAAAATTCATCTGGAAGGGGAAAAAACAGAAAAACTTTTCTTAATTCGTCTGATGGCAGTTCAAGTAAGAATACCTAAACGTAGTTTAATTGTTGGGGATACTTTTCTTGAACTATACCTACAAAAAATGTATCGAGCTGCAATAATACCTTGAGAAATTGCTCTGTAAATGAAAAGCTGTTCAGGGTTGCCACAGAATTTAGAATATGAAATTCCCTGACATTTCCCGGTTTCCCTGACACATTTTGGTAGAATTCCCTGACAATTATTGAACATGTGACGAATGGTTAAGAAGGCAAAATTGAAAATAGATTTCAGGTGAAAGTTGTTAGAAACCTCAAACCCATTTTGGAAAGCAAATGAAGGTGATTTAACAAATTTTCTCTCACATTTTCGTCATTTTCCCTGACACTTCACGGTTTTCCCTGACCTTTTAAATTTCCCTGATGTTTCCCGGTTTTCCTTGACTGTGGCAACCTTGCCTGTTCGATCGAAGCATTCAATGCTTCACGATGAAGATAGATAAATGCGTGTTTCCGAGTAGACACCTATTCGCGCTCCCCGGAGAGTTTGTTGCCTACACAGCGAAATTGAAGGCGAATCACAATTGACAATATTTATGTACCCCTCAATGGAATCATCTAAATTTTTGGAGGAAGGTAATATGTATGTTTTCCGAATAGATCACTTTTCGTGCTATCCGGTATGCTTGCTGCTGGTGCGGCAAAATTGAAGGCGAACTGTGAAACTTCGGACTTGAATATGTTGCGCTCATCGTGATTTTTGAGACATTATCTGTAAAGAGTAACTCTTATTTTCGCTCTGGCAAAAGTTCGCAACAGACCCATTCGCACCTCGTCTATGGCTCATTCTCGATTTTCCGGGGACCTGTGCACACTCTGGATAGGTTCCAGCTTGTCCTAGCGATATCCCAGACTGAAGTCGGACCAGCGGGGCGATTATTGAAACTGATAGACAAAGCGATAGACAAAGATGACATAGGAAGTATAAAGCAATTCTATTGGTTGAAATGGGTGGTTCTCATCGACTAAGGGGGAAAATGATAGACTAACTGTCAGGTTTCTCGTGGGTTGCCGTTACTTAGTCGATTACCTACCTCCTTTGTCCATTGCAACAACCCGTTCCCACCAATAGGATCCCTCCAAATCCCTTTTGTCGTCTTTGTCTATCGCTTTATCTATCAGTTTCAATAATCGGTCCGCAGAATTCGTGGAACAGCCGGCAGTCACGCCATCTCAGCTCGAGGAGAGTCCACTCGGACTGGCCGAAGCACGACGTCAGCCTGATTCCTGATTTGGAGTCGACTCACCCGAGGACTGGAACCAGTTTTACAGTCGCCACGCCACGCCACGCTCCCGCAAAAAAAAACACAGTCAGCTGCTCTGCCGCGCTACAAAAAATCGGCGTATGAGCTTTCAGGGGTCGCAAAATTTCCCCCTGGTACAGAATCTATTTTTGAGAAAAGTAACGAGTACAGGGTGTCTACTAAAACAGGCTGGCCAAAAATCAGTACTTTTATAGTACTTTTTCGGCACACACCTAAGAAATTCAGTACCTCCTCAACAAAAAAATTCGTACTTTTTCAGTACCTCTAATTGACGAAATTCGAAAAATTCCAAAAATTCGGATTTTTCGCTCAAGTTGCGACAAAAATGACAAAAAAAATAAAAAATTTCCGGACCTTCTTGCGGAATTTCCGCACTTTTTTAGTACTTCCGGACCGCCCTTAAAAAATCCGTAATATTTCCGGACTTTCCGGAAATTTCGGACTTGTAGACACCCTGATTTTAATTTATTTTTTGTTTTAATATTTTACACTAAATGGCGAAGATAATTGCTTAAGAAATTGGAGGAAAACCAGGCGAAAATTTCCTCGTAAATTCGTGTATTTTATCGAAGGAAGTTAGGCAACGTCTGAAGGCTCGTGCGTCGTTTTTTCTTACTTTCGGACGCTTTCGACTTCAAAGTTCTCGGTCGGTAACTGCGGAACTTTTAACGTTTCGAGAAAATTCGGCATCGACGCGGTGCGGTGGATGTCTGGGTGAAGTGACACAACTCGAAATTTACGAGTATTTTAATTTGTTTCTATTTTCATATTTTACACTAAAAGGCGAAGAAAATTGCTTGAAAAATCTGAGGAAGAATATGCATAGATTCCTGATTTCCCTGTAAATTCGTATTTTATCGAAGGAAGTTAGGCAACGTCTGAAGGCTCGTACGGCGTTTTTTCTTAGTTTCAGACGCTTTCGACTTCAAAGTTCTCGGTTGGAAACTGCGGAACTTTTGACGTTTCGAGAAAATTCGGCAAGGACGCGGTGTAGTGCGATGGACGCCTGGGAAAGGTGACATAACTCGAAAGCACTGGTCCTCTTAAAATTGGATATTGATTTGTGCGTCTTCTCGGAAAAACCTGCCTCAAGAAGCTCCGTAAATATTTCCCTTGAATTCTACGTCGTTGACTAAACGTTCCACAGGGAACAACAAGGCGAGTTTTTCGAGTGACTTGTCGAAGAGCGAATTATCGGGATCAAATTCGGAAAATAAAAGTATAGATCAGATGGATGCATTACTCACCTCCTAGTATTGTAATCGGAAAGAATATTATTTTCTAAAGGCAGTTTAAGATCCGGGAAATCTTCGCAGACCCATCTGAAAACAGAAAGAGAGAAAATATTAGAAAATGTTTCAAGTGATAGAGACGATAAAAAGAATGAATAATGATAATATCGTTCTCGACAATGCTGTATGTATGGTTTGCAGACGAGAAAAAAAAACCTAACTGCATTTGTACATTGCCAAATGTCTACTCAAGATCTATGCATTCATATTAGAAAACCTTTCATCGTTTTTCCATTTATTGTCATCAAAAATCGATAAAATCATGAAGATACATTTCGCTGACCTTCATATCCTTTTTGTCTTCTTTGTCTATTGCTTGATCTATCAATTTCAATAATCACCCCGCAGGTCAAGGACGCGGAACCCGGCGAAAGCGGCGCCTCGGGCCGGAAAACCGGAAAATGCGGGGATTTTGGAGCGACGAGGAAACGGCGCGCGAGATCCGACGCCGGTGCAATGGCGGGAGGAGGGGGGGGGGGAGGAAAAGGAGTAAGAAGAAAGTGCAGCGTGATGAACTAACTGTACAGTGTAAACCCGACCCACTTTTGCGGCCGCGCTCGGCTCGGCGACCCGATGCGAGTTGCACACTTGCACAGCTCCGTTCGTCGCCGGGAAAAAACACGCAATTGCACCGGCGGCCACCGAGGTGGAAAAAGGACGTAAGTTCCTGCTGGATGGAAATCTCCAATCCATGTATTACTCACGCGTGAATGATTTTCATCGTGCATGAAACAAAATAGTGCTTCAATGGAGATGTTGCGTGGGTGAGGAATTTGCGATTTGACTGTTGATTCTCATGTAAAAATTCGCGAGAAACACGATGGTGCCACTGGTTTTCTCTGAAATCAACTCCCAAGCTCAAAAAAAGCTCTAAAATTGAGGCCAAAATGGAGGGGATATCCCACGCTATCCTGAGAGTCCACGTCTACATCAAAACAAACTCTCCATGCAAAGATAGGGAGCAAATAAATTAGCAGTGATGCCGTGTTTTCAGTATTGGAGTCCCCAAATAAAGTGGCAGCCCTGTCAATGTATTGGCTCCCTATCTTTGCACGGATAGTTTCTCTTGATGTAGAGGTGGACTCTCAGGGTAGAATGGGATATCACCTCCATTTTGGCCTCAACTTGAGAGCTTTTTTTGAGCTTGGGAGTTGATTTCAGAGAAAACCAGTGGCACCATCGTATTTCTCGCGAACTTTTGCAGAACATTCGATTGTCAAATCGCAAATCCCTCACACATGTAACATCCCCATTGCACCGGCGGCGACCGCCTTGGAAAAAGGACGTAATTTCCTGCCGGGTGGAAATCTCCAATCCATGTAATACTCACGCGTGAATGATTTTCATCGTGCATAAGATAAGCGGGATTGCATCTTGCGAGAAGGAACCAGGGGCAATGCCATGTTGCTCAGATTGTGCTATGGTATTCACCCTTTGCAATAGAACTACCGTAATCACGCAAAAATATGAAATTTTTAAGGTAATGTTTGTATAAAATTTAAAGATTTTAGAGTGTAGAATAGAGGATGATTACAGATAATCAGGGGTTTTCTTCCAAGATAAAAGAAGTTGCACAATCTCAGCACCATTGCAACACTCTTTGTTTCTTTCTTCAAAATGCAATCCAGATAATGCTTTAATTGATTTTTGTTTTGCAAAAATCGAATGAAATTACCCAGCTCATGACCGATGAATGACGGAGTGAGTACACAGAGGGTATTGGCTCCTTTACGCATGTACGCAATTTTATGGAAGAGCCATAAAAATCAGTTCCTGATACCAAAATCGAGTTCAAAAATGATCTAGCGCGTCGATTTCCTGCTCAGAAGTGTGGTGCAGATGCTCCGCGCGATTTGGACTAACGCCTTCAGCCCATCCTGATACCGTACGCTTTGCCGCGGAGTTAGTTTAGTTGCGTGACCAAACCGAACCTAACTTACAAAGAAATAGCTCATTCAGAAAAGTGTTAAAGATGCTCCGCGCGATTCGGACTAACGCCTTCAGCCCACCCTGATACGGCACGCTTTGCCGCAAAGTTAGTTTAGTTGCGTGACCAAACCGAACCTTTAAATTAAAAAGATTGAGCTCATCTTTTATCTCTGAGTTGATTCTAGAAACTTTGAATAGACAACGTAGTGTATTCAACGTACGCTGTGAGGAGAAATACTAAATTCGGGGTTGTCACAGAATTTAGAAAATGAAAATTCCTGACATATTTCTGTGAAATTCCCTGACAATTAAAAATGTAACGGATGGTTAAGAGGACATAATGGAAAATAGTTTTCGGGCAAAATTACTTGTTCAAAAACTCAAACCCATTCTAGAAAGCAAATGAGGGTGATTTAACAAATTTCCCCTGACATTTTCGTCATTTTCCCTGACATATTTCGGTGAAATTCCTCGGCAATTGAAGATGTGATGAATGGTTAAGAAGTCTTATAATTGAGAATAGTTTTCAGGCAAATTTTCTTGTTCAAAACATCAAACCCGTTCTAGAAAGCAAATGAAGGTGACTGAACAAATTTTCCCTATCATTTTCGTCATTTTCACTGACATTTCCCGGTTTTCCCTGACCGTGGCAACCTTGCATCACTAAAAAATGACGCCTCTGTCCGCAAACGCCGCATGAAAAAGCCTAATGAGCCAATCAGAGAGCGGCACACATTCCCCCTTCTCTAAAAGGCTTAGCCTTGAACCACTTTCGCACTGGGTCTCCATTCTAATTACCTCATTTTTTCAACACCTCCGCATTCCGACGAGGGTGGAATAATAACAGGTCCGCTTGTGCTATGCGTGGGGCTGCCGCGGCACTCAGCAGGTCACGGGGGTTGAATTGAGCGGTGGATTTTCAACCCTTGCCCCAGTCGGATCCGAGGGCGAGGGGTGGGTTGGGCGAGCACCTGGTGCGAACATCGATGCGTTGACAGCCGGAACGGTCGCGTTAACAAGTGTAGAACGACAAAAAAACCAAAGGCATTGTTGATCCGCGCGGCCCCGTTTCCACAGGGATGGCCACTCGGCGAGGGATCATGTTTATTTTAAGGGCGTCCTTACTTTAAGGAAAAACACCGTATAAACATTGCGATGTTGCCAGAATTCATCCGATAGGATGCTCATTTGAAAGCGAATGGATACTTCTCTTGGAATTGTTGGAGGAATCCCACTAATAATTGATTCCAATGTTCCCCGAATGGAGAATTTGTATGCAATTGTTTTATTGCTTCATCTGAAAGTGCTTAGAGAGCTGATTTCACAGTATTTTTCTATAATTTTTTTCTGATATGTGAAATAGTATAAAAATAGGTTTCAAAGTGAAAAAATGCACGGTCTAGTGACGTCATCTGGCGGCATTCCCCGTTTAAACGCACGTATTTTAGCAGATTAGATCATTTGTCATATCTTCTCAAACAATGGTTCAAGTCATGAACCAAGGGTATCCTCGCCCCTCGCGTTCAGTTCACTCAGTTGTTTCCACTTGAACACGAATTTCATCAAATTTCAGACACCTGCAAAGCCTGTATTCATCTGATAGGATACTCATTTTCTTGGAAGCGCATGGATATTTCTCTTGAAAATTCAGGATGAATCTCACTAATAATTGGACCGCGTTTGGCAGAATGGAACAATGCTACACTGCTATTGCCTAAGTTAACTGGGCATTTTAATTTTTTACAACAGAACGTTTGTGCATTCTTCCTTGGACATTTGTAAGGAATTTGCTTCGTGCTATGAAGAAAATTCGCACAAAAATCCGCACAACCGTTCTCAAGTGAAAAGTTAAACTGCCCAATGGAGGTTGGCAATAGCTGATGTGGCTTGGTTCCTTTCAGCTTGACGCAGTCCGATTAAACCTGTACTGGAAAAAAATGCGTGATTTGAAATGATTCAATCGGATTTTTATTACTCGAATCAAAGGAATCGCTTAAACTAAGGAGCTGGACTCTCGATTCAAGCAAAAGCCCGCGAGAATCAAGAATATGTTTTTCATGACGAGTTTCTTGGAGCCTGGACTATGGATTCAAGAGACTTTTCTTCCCAGTCTAGCGTTCCTTAGAATTTCAAAGAGACCATGATACTTTAATAATATACATATACGTGCTGTACTAATAAATAGGCAATTAAAAAAGTATTTAAATATAAAAACAAGATGGATTGATTGAATAATGTATACACAAGTAAATAGAGAGTTAACTCCTCTGAAATAACTCTAATCAAAAATAAATATATCATTAAAAAACATTCGGCACCGCTCGAATGTTTATACGGAGTCGCCCGGGGCGTAGCAGATTTACTAATCGATTAGAGGGAATCCGTGAAAGGGCGAAGGTACAACATCACGTTCCTTTGTTTTTGTTATTATTTTGTTAGCGGATTAGCTTTGTTTACGTTTGTCAGCAAAGGCTATGGCGTAATTTACAGCCATACAAAAGCGGGGATAAAACCCGTAGCTCCGGAGGAAATTCGAAGTTGATGTGCGGTTTCAAACGCAAGAATCCGATCCTGAACAGGTTGTTTCCGAGAAACGCGTGGGACTTTACCTCATCCTCACATCGCTGGGATTTGTTGCTACTCAACGGTCTTGTTGAGTCCTTTGTGTCCTCGACTGCTTTGGATATTGTGATTTGTTCACGGTCAGTCAAGATCCTCACCCTAAGTTTTAGAAGTTGTTTTGTTTGTTTTCTGTTTAATGAAAACCTTCGATTGGTGGGTGCCACCATGTCGCTTTCTATTCCTATCTTGTCATCCCCGCATCCAGAAAAAAAACCGGGATGTGCTCCCAGCTGGACTCAACTGGATGGACGACCAGCACTGGAACAAATAATTTTCTTGGATCTGGACGCTTATAAAATTTGAGGAGAAAAAATAATCTCGATTCAGTCCGATTTATGCTTGAACAAGAGTTGCACGGGGGAAAACGAGAAACAAGGCTTTTTCCTCAAATCCTGATGAAATCGGGATTAAATCTGGACTGCCATCAAATCCTGATAGAATCTGTAAAATCGGGAAAATCCTGACGCTAGACGCCATGG